AATAAAATTTAAATCTAAGAATTAGAAAAAAATTAGAACCTCACACCCGGGGCAACGCCCGGGCCTAAGAGCTAGTTCCTTCTGTTGGTTGCATTGATTTCTTTTCAAGAATAATTTCAATTTTTGGATATACAATTTCTAGATAAATATCATCTATTGATGAATTATCACTTAAAAAGTTTGTAGAAGTCAACATCATTTCAATTAATTTGGACGGCAATGATTGAAATGATTCAATATCTATATGCTTTTTCAATAAAAATAATTCTTTTTTATCTTTGGGTACAAATGCTTTTGCATAACATTTTTCAATATCTTTTATTTTTAGTTCCGATTTAAGGTCATATGCTGAATTTTCTGCAGAAAATACATTTTGTGGATGAATAGTTAAGCCATGATTTAATTTATGCGATTTTATTACGGTTTTATTAGAAATAGTTTGATCGATGTCCATCTTTGTATCTCTAATGATGTATGGAGGATTTGATGGTTTTTTTTCTTCATGTTCTTTTTTAATAGAAGAATATGATAAAGGTTTATCCCTTTTTATTCCTAAACTTATATCAGCATTAATTGCGCTAGGCTGTGAAATTTCTTTATTAATAGAAGAATATGATAAAGGTTTATCCCTTTTTATTTCTAAACTCATATCAGTATTAATCGCGCTAGGCCGTGAATTTCCAAAATTTATTACAACATAACCAATAGGAATACGTGATTTGTCAGGAATATTATTCAAAGATTTTACTATCGGATATTTCCTATGAATATTTAAAAAAGCTGGATGATTTGGAGGATTGGAATATTGAATACTTGCAAATATATGTTTTGGGTGTTCAAATAAATCCCATTTATTTCCGGTAAATGTGCGTCTAGGGTTTGATCGAAATGGTAGAACGGTGTATTCTTTGTTTCTCCATTCATATTCGGTTGGCCTAGCAATTTCTTCAACTTCAGAAGTATTTTTTGTGAAGATAGCACAATTAACTTCAAATGTTAATGCTTCGTTATTGCTAATTTTGTCGGTTTCGGCATCATAACCATAGCAACATAATTGCGTAGTGTCATTTTCTTCATTATGACGGAAATGATAACTAATCACATGTTTAGAGCTTCCAAATTCATATCCAGGATTTTCCTTACATTTTAGAATAGGACAACCTAACCAACAATAATCAACGTCTGAAATTGGATATTCAATTAAATTATTGCCGTCAGGTACAAATTTTCTAGTACAAACATATGAAATTGCATTATCTTGAAATTTTCCAATTGGTAGTTCTTCCTCGTAACCGATCAGCATGTAAGGAATGAAAAGATTAAAAGGTTTCTTTGCCGGTCCAATACGATGTATTACGATGCATGGATTCTCATCATCCATATATTCAACCCTGACTGCAAACACGTTACGATATGGTCTTACTTTGTTCAATACAATTATAGAAGCAAAAATCTTAACATTATTAAATGTTGGAACGACTGAAGGTTTTTGAATATAATGAATTAAAATATTGTGGCCTTTTGGCATATTAACGGATAAATTACTTTTATATAATATTTTCATTCCGTTAACCTCTTGTATCCTTGCTATAAGCCTCTTTGATAATAACGTACATAATGGTGTTAAGTCATTTTGTTCAATAATTTCCCAATTATTAAAATGTTTTAATCTTTCTAGTTGTTCAATGATGTCGGTTTGCTCATAATGTATATGAAATATGCCTCCAAGCTTGATTTCCTTTGGCCTGTCCGTTATTAAATTATTAAATTAGATTAAGCCGAAATAAATTAATTTTATATGTGAGAGTGTACAAACCAGAAAAATCCGTAATAAAATCGCATAAATTAAATCATGGCTTAACTATTCATC